TATATCAGCGTGACCAAACTACCACGGTGTTACGTCACGGTGTTACGTCACAGCTCTACTGTCAGTTCCACTCACGTTCAGGTCTTCGACGTTGCTGACGATGCACGTGATCTCGACCGTCGCTCCGACAGGGACCTCAGCATCCTGACTCACATCAATAATCATCGGCCGTGGTTTATTACCGCCGCTGCCATCGCTCGTCGTCACTGCACCGTGCGGAGCCTCAGTCGTTACCTCGGTGACCGGTGTCGGCGGAGGCCGCGTGACTGGCACGACCACCTCCGGGATCGAGGCGGGAATGATCCTGGTGGGGCGGCGACCTGAAAGGATAACGGACGGAGAGTGAGATTAGGTTCGTGTCCGAACCATAGAAATATATAGAGACACTAATATATAGTCAAACTACTATATTATTTCTATGTTCCCAACCAAAGGGAGGGGGTGGATACCTGGTTACCGTACTCAAGACATACCATGAAGAATTTTACACACGTCAGAGAAAGGGAGAGAGAGACTCGAGAGAGGAACTTGAGAAAGACAGCTTGGAGAGACACTTGAGAGAGACACCCAAGAAAGAAACACGCTAGAGACACCCATGAGAGAAACACTCTAGAGAAAGACACCCTAAAGAAAGAGGCCCATGAAAGAGACACCCTAGAGAGAGGCACCCTAGAGAGAAACACCAGTCGCGGTCGTCTCTCCGTCATCCGGAGGCCGGGCGATGACTCACCGATGACAGTGACGTGTAAGGTGACGGAGACGGGCGGCACTGCCGGAATCTGACACACGTAGTCGGCGTCGTCCTCCGGGCCGACGTCATCGATTCGCAGCGTCACCACGCGGCGCGCCGGACTGCCCGTCACGCGGCTGCTGAAGCGACGGTTGTCGGTGACGCGAGCGCCACCTGCCGTCAGCACCGTCGGCGCCGAGTTTCCCTTCCTCTGCAGCCAGATGACCTGCGAGCGAGCGGTGTGAGGATGCAGGTTACAACTCACGGGGGTTGTGGAACGAGGAGAATAGTCATGTTACAACGTGGTCATGTTACATGTGATGAGGTTACTAACACAGGGGTTACGGTGTGAGCACAAGAATGGTTATGTTACAACGTGGTCATGCAACGATTGGGTTACTCCCATGTTATGGCAATGGTCATGATACGCAGCCATGCAACGATCGGGTTAATACCATGCTATAACAACCACCGGAATGGTCATGGTACAAAGTGGTCACGCAAAGATTGGGTTACTCCCATGTTATGGCAATCATGGCAATGATCTTATATCTTTATATCTTATATCTCTATATCTGTATATCTTCATATCTTACATCTTATCTCACGAAAAAATCACGGGTTACGGAAAACCGGAGAACGGTAGTTCGCAAAACATACACAGAGGTTAAAAAGGAGGTTACTTTAAGATTTTAATGTTAAACGGGAGATTACTTTAAGATTTTAAAGTTAAAAGAGAAGTTACTTTATGATTTTAAGGTTAAAAGAGAGATTACTTTAAGATTTTAAGGTTAAAAGAGAGATTACTTTAAGATTGTAATGTTAAAAGGGAGATTACTTTTAGATTTTAAGGTTAAAAGAGAGATTACTTTAAGATTTTAAGGTTAAAAAAGAGATTACTTTAAGATTTTAAGGTTAAAAAAGAGATTACTTTAAGATTTTAAGGTTAAAAAAGAGATTACTTTAAGATTGTAATGTTAAAAGGGAGATTACTTTAAGATTTTAAGGTTAAAAGAAAGATTACTTTAAGATTTTAAGGTTAAAAGGGAGATTACTTTAAGATTTTAAGGTTAAAAAAGAGATTACTTTAAGATTTTAAGGTTAAAAGGGAGGTTACTTAAAGATTTTAAGGTTCAAAGGGAGATTACATTAAGATTTTAAGGTTAAAAGAGAGATTACTTTAAGATTGTAATGTTAAAAGGGAGATTACTTTAAGATTTTAAGGTTAAAAGAAAGATTACTTTAAGATTTTAAGGTTAAAAAGGAGATTACTTTAAGATTTTAAGGTTAAAAAGAGATTACTTTAAGATTTTAAGGTTAAAAGGGAGGTTACTTAAAGGATTTTAAGGTTAAAAGGGAGATTACATTAAGATTTTAAGGTTAAAAGAGAAATTACTTTATAATTTAAAGGTTAGGGATTCTACGGTCCAGTTCACAGCAATAAATTAGTGATTGTCATCGCTAAATATATTGAAATCTTTTCCAAAAAAATACGTTAAGGAGAAACGAAAGCTTACGTTCAGGTTCCCAATATCCCTGGCGATGCACGTCAGCACGACGGTGGAGCCGGCAGTGACGTCACTGTCACTGCTAATTTTCACGATCCTCGGCGGTTGGTCAAAGACGGTTGGTCGGCGCGACGGAGTGGGCGTGGTGTCACGCGAATCGCTTGTTGTAACGCCGCCTCCGATTGGACGGAATGGTGTGGGCGTGGTATTACGCGAATTGCCTCTCGTCACGTCGCTTCCGATTGGCCGGCGAGACGGAGTGGGCGTTGTGCGTCGCGTACCACCGCCTCCGATTGGCCGGCGAGACGGAGTGGGCGTTGTGCGTCGCGTACCACCGCCTCCGATTGGCCGACGGGATGAAGTGGTCGTGGTGCCGAGCAAATCACCTCTCGTTACGTCGCCTCCGATTGGCCGACGGGACGAAGTGGGCGTGGTGCGCCCCGTACCGCCGCCTCCGATTGGCCGACGCGACAAAGTGGGCGTGGTCGGCGGCGGGCGCGTCGTCGGCGCCGGGATAACTGTGACGTCGACGTCGGCGCTGACGGGCGGCCGCGTGGCGACCTCGCACGTGTACGTGCCGGCGTCATCGCTGCGCACGTCGGCGATGCTCAGCCTGACGGAGCGTCTGCCGCCGCGGCCGGACGCGCGGGCGACGACGCGGCGGTCGTCGACGAGGCGCGCGGAGTTGGCGCTGAGCATGCGCGTGGCGGCGCCGGGTCGGCGGCGGTGATGCCAGACAACCTAAGAGAGTCGGTGAAAGCGCGACGTTTTAGGTAGACGGATTAATTAAATAAAAGGTATCAACGAAAAAACAAATTGCTGATCGGGGTGGACAGATGTTGAGAGCGAATGGGTTCTCACACGCGTGCCTATGGACGCACGTACGCACGTACGCACGCACGCACACACACAAACACACACACACACACGCACGTACACACACACACACACACACACGTACATACACAAACAAACACACACACACACACACACACGCACACAAACACCAC